TTTCCAATACACACATTAAAAGGTGTTAAGCTGCTGTCTCCTCACCTACCCAAATTTGGTCAGAGTCCTATCAGGTCATCTGGCTGGAGTCATGTTAGGTTATCTATACTGTAAGAGTTTATGTCAGGTCATCTACAGTATAGTATCTGTCAGGCTAATACAAATTCATGCGGATTGAACAGTCATCTATCAAAGTATTCCAAGTTTTACATAGGGCTTTTTCTTGAAAAGTTGGGAAACAGAAGTGATCTGATCTAAGAATGTTGTAAATTACTATGTAAAGTTTCAGAAGAATAAAATCCACCCAACATGTCACCTAACTCTGCCACTTCCTGCTATTTCAACCTGATCATTAAAAAAAAAAAAAAATCCATCAGCCTCAGTTTAAGGCTAACTCACAGATGTTAGCATGCTAACATGCTAAATGAAGATGTTGAACATGGTAAATATTGTACCTGTCAAGGCTGCTGATGTTAACATTAGCTCAAAGCACCGCTATGGCCAATCAAAGCCTCACAGAGCTAGCATGGCTGTAGACTTTTAAACATGTTCAGTGTTACCACCTGAATGAAGTGAAACATACTTGACTCTGACCTTGGAGAGGGGTTTGTCCTCAGTCAATCTGTCTGTCTGTCTTTCTGTCTTTCTGTCTAACTGACTGTGTCCTTGTTAGCAGCCTGTTGTTCTCACTGGTAGACTGGCTAAAACACCTGGACTCTGAGATCAAAATGTCTTCAGTGAAGTTTTTTAGGACTGAGGTGGAGGACAGTGTGTATTTCTAACTGCGCTCAGCTCCAGATGATTTACCACCAGACGTTCTCTGAGTTTCCCAAAAATCATTAAACCCCCCAGTCTGGCTGTGTTTCATGTTCCTGAACAAAGTATACCACCACTGATGTGCCTTTGGGAACTCCAGAACAGGTAGTCCAGTGGATGTACATGTATAAAAATCTTCTGGGATGTATTCAGATCAGAGTGTACATCCACTTGACTAGTGCATCCTCCCTCCCCGACACAGTTCATGTGGGCACTGCAGAGCGCCACCTATAAGTGTCTAAGGGATATTGTAGCAACTGATAGCTGATTTTCGTAACCAATATTCCTGTTTTGTCCTGTCTCTGTCTGTCTGTCCATCTGTTTGTCCCTCCGTCCATCTGTCTGTCTGTCTATCCGTCTTTTTCTAACTTCCTCCTTTGGTCTAAAATATTTTACTTGGTTTGGGCTGGTTTCGTTTTGAGTTTTTTATTCTCTTTTTTTCCAACTTTTGTTTCATTTACAAATGCTTGTAACTGTAACAAACGGTTTATATTTGCAATTTCTGATGTGCAATGCTACCATAACATAAATGAACATATCATAACATTACTGTTATAAAAAAAATTGCATTTACATGCAATCCCACACATTCCTTACATTACAACCTTTTATGAAAATGTTCATGCTGACTGTTTAATTTGCTAATCTGAATGACCCTTCATAACTCCGCTCTGACCTTTGCCCTTTTACCTGTGTTTGTCATATTCATGTAGCCACGGGTTATGAGAAGTCACGCAGCCTCAATAATATATCCGGGATGACAGGCGCCCCGCTGCGCCTCACCCCCATCACCAACTCCACCTTCGAGCCCTTCGAGCCGCCTGGCCTCAGGCGATGCCACTCCCCCATTCCCTCCATCTTGTAGCATATCCGACAGGGAAACACAACAAAATATCAACAACAACAGCAACAATGTTTTTTTTCTTTATCTTTTCTTCTGGGGAACATGCAAAAGAAAAAAAGCATCAGCATGGAAGGAGTGTATCATGGACATTTGATTCATTTTAGCTGCTCTTTCATCACCATCACTCACGTTTTCCTCTTGACAGAAACAACAAGGAATTAGAGTTCTACTAGGCACTAGAGGGTCCTATTTTAAAACCACAGAATAGTTAAACCTTACTGATTAAGCTGAGATAGACGCTTAAGCAAACATATTCAAAAATACACAAACACACACTAACACACCTGCCTTACTAACAGGGATAGAGTCTACGTTAGTTTAGACTGATATGATAGTTGAGTTAGTTTACCTCTAGCTTTCCCTGTGCTACTTCTTGCCTGTATCTTGACACTGCACTTGCACTTCAATGCTTTAAGACCAATACTTAAGTGTAGCTATTAATAAGAGACTTTTCTAATAATAAGCCTCACAATGCACACATTCAAACACACAAACACTAACATATTACTGCAGCATGCATGTTTTTACATGAGACTCCAGAATAAGAACATACGTTATACCTTCAAGTAGATTAAAAAAAGAAGAAGACAAAAAAAGAAGACATTTTTGTATACTTAAAGTAAAAATCATATCTCTAAAAAGGAAATACCCCAAACTGTAGCACCTCGGCACCTTTGAAAAAAGCCATGTAGGCTGTTAAGGTTTAGTTCTTTGTGTTAGATTGAGACCAAACAACCTCTATTGCACGCATGTGCAAATTTAGTTGGTTTGTTCTCACTGTAGCTCTTAGAACAGGGAGCAAGAAGAGAAGGTGTTTTATTAGTTTGCAGATCACCTCCATGACTAAATTATGAAAGCAGCAGCAGCATCCCCTCCTTATCTTTCTCCTGCTTCCTCCTCAGGCTTCAGACTCTCCTCAGACATCCACAGTATGTACTGCAGGAGAGCTTGATGAAATTTTTTTTTTTATATACCATGGACAGCTGGGGCAAGAAGCATGTATGTCTCTGTCAGGGTGGGATGCAGGTCATAGGACAGTGATTCCCAACCTCAGGAGTTGCAAAAATAAACCAGCAGTTGAGAGATAATTAAAAGATTATATATATTATCAAATGTATTTATTGATACATGAAAATGTGATTTTTTTTCTATCACCTCCTATTTTAATTTGCAGCTGTAGATGTCCAATATTATATACAGGAAGCTCCATAATATAATGTACATTTCAGGATAATGTAAATTTAATGTACATTTCCATTGTGGAATTGCACATTATGCTGATATCACCATGTGAGTCACCATTTTACATATAATTACAACCCCATTCTAGTCAAGATCCCATCCAGATGCAGCATGAATTTTACACAAAATTGGCAAAAAGAAAATGTGATTAAATGTGTATTTCCATCTGCTGCTATGAAACAAATATTATGGGTTGGTTCATTGAGATAAATAGTTTATGTAGCAAATTCTCCAGTCAGGTTTGTTTCGTGTATTTGTTTGTATTGTATTTTGTTTCTTTTTCTGTTTGTTTCATGTGTTAATGTGAGGAAGGTTACAGTCTCCTCATCAATCCGGAAACATCTGATGTTTTTCGTCTCTCCAGTGGAATCTTGAGTAACATGCTTAACGTGCTTCATGGTTTATTCCCTAAGTCTGTTTCTCACCTTGCTACCAACTTTCACCTTAGCCAACTTTTTTTGCAATCTTTCAGTCTTTTTTTGTTTTTGTTTTTTTGGTGTTGAAAATGATGCGTTTCCACTTGGGTTTTTTCATGAGCACACTGATAAACTAAAAGTAAACTACTTTTAATTTTTTTTTATTCAATTTTTTATTCAGTTTTATAGTCTGTAAATGTTATTTCCCAGCATGAAGATGAGAAAGTTTCACAGCTAAAATTCTGGTGTGAAATGTATTGTAAATTCTTTACTTGTTAAATTTATTTACCTGAAAGAAGTTTCAATATTTGATGCTGAATCTAGTTACAAAATACTGGAATCACCCCTATTTATCCACTGAGTGCCAAAAATCCCCAAATACAGAGGACATTACCTCAGTATCCTCTGTCTAAGATATGGCTCTGATTTGAGAATCTGCGGTATCTTTGTTTTAAAGGATCACAAGCTGACAAGGTTGGGAATCACTGCCAAAGGGCATGCCAGAGGAGCAGAGTTGGTATTGGCTGTATTGTTGCTCGATTCGACACTGCAGAGCTGGAGCATGAAACACATTTTGTAAAATAAATAGACCAAACAGCTATAGGAAAATAGAGAAAAAACGTAGGTGAATATACATATGAACTTTTACCTTTAGCCTCACAAAGACCTCCAGTGTAGGCATCATGGAAGCTAGAGCATTAGGGTCTGATCTTTAACACGCCAACACTCCTCACCTGCCCTCCACGCACTCTCACCTCTGCTTTCAAGAAAAGGATAAGGTGCAAATTTTAGAAGAAAGGGATGATCATTTCTCATTTCTTTGTTGTGCTTTCATTTAGTCATAAGCAAAGGCTAAAGGAACAGCACATATAAAGCTTGTTTGCTTTCTTTTTGAGAGTGAGATGAGAAGATTGATGCCACTCTCATATCTGTGTATTAATAGACGGAGTCAGGATGCAGTAAGCCTAGCTTAGTGTAAAGACTGGAAGCAGGGGGAAACACTCAGTCCAATATAAATGAGCAAAGCTGACTAATTAATGTGAAGTGTCTTGTCTTTTTAAATGGTGCACAAAGGTAAAGACAAAGGACAATTTGTGGTTGAGGTTGTGTTAATGTGCTAAAAGTATTAAGATCAACAGCCAGATGCGTTTTTGAGCAGAGCCAGGCTAGCTGTTGATAGCCTCTAAACTAGACTAACCACATTCTGATTCCAGCTCTGCTCTCATTACATGAACAAAAGACTGATATTCATCCTCTTGCAGCATTCTCGGAAAGAAAGCAATTTAGCATTTTTCCAAAATGTTGAACTCTTCCTTTAATTTTTGGCTTTGGCTTTCTCTTCATCTGGAAAAGTTTTGGACATTGCAGATCAGCCTGAGTGTGAGAAGTCTGAGTTCATCCTGCCACCATCACCACCACCACCACCACCACCACCACCAACACCACCAACAGCGTTACTACTTGCACTGACTCCAGTGTGACTCAGCAGCCAGTGGCAATATTTTTAGTTTTTGGCTTCTCTTTCTTTCCCTTTTTGTCCGTCCTAAACCCTACCCGACCCCCCTGCCCCCTCCTCTTCTGTCTGTCCACCTCTTCTGTTTTATTCGGCTGCAACTGATCAGTAGGAGGCACCGTGAACGGCTACTGGAGCGACAGCCCGTGGTAGAGGAAGAAGAGCGAACAACAAACACTGCAAGAGAAGAAGAGAGAGAACATGACAGCAGAGACAAACATAGAAATATGCAATGTAGATAGATAAGAGACAGCGGTGGTTAGATCTGTGTTTCTGTTCAGTTCTGTTGTATTTGCAGCACGCGAGTGTGCACCTTGATGTTTGTGTGTGTGTGTGTGTGTGTGTGTGTGTGTGCGCGTGCGTGTGTCCGGACCTGCATCTACCTCTGTACTAAGATGCACAAATGTGAACTCGTAAGAATACATTTTCTTTCAGATTAATTTTGATATTAACAATATGTGTGATCACATGATAATGTCATCTTTCTGTCAGTTCAGTTTCCTTTTATTGTTTTATTAATCTAAGTTCAAGGGTTTTTTTTTCCCCCCTTAATATAAATGTCCTTATTGTTTTAAACCGGGATTGTTTGATGTTTCAGAAATGTAATTGATTTCAGAACTATGTCTTTGACTTATCCATTGTTTTCGACAGTAATTATGTGTCTGTTGGTTAAGTTTTAAATCCCTTGTCCTCATCTCTCGCTCTCTCCTTAATTCTCTCCCACCAGAAAGTAACAGAGAGCTTTAAGCCAGCAGGAAATCATTCCCTTCGATTTGCATTAGATTCTCAGATGAGAAGTATCACTAACTACCCAGTGAACTGTTCAGGCAATAATATGCCTAAACAAGAACCAATTAAATGTGCTGAGGAAGTTTCTAAAGTGCTGTTCATCTTGTAAGGATTCAGAGGAATGTTTCTGTGCTTCGAGGTATCTCCAACTGTTACTTTTTACGTTGAAGCTGGGGGTGTTGGGAGATGAGAGCACCAAATGAGGAGACTTTGCCTGAGGAGCATATAATTGTTTTTTTTTTAAGAATTGGTTTAAAATTTTGGGGGAAAAACACTTTCTGTTAACTACTGTGGAGCTATAGCCAGAAAGGGATTAGTCTAATTTAGATTTAAGACTGGAAGCAGGGAGAAGTTGCTAGCTAGCCTGGATCTGACCAAATACAAAAAAATACACTTTAGGCTGTATCTAATTTGATTAGCATGTGCAGAATAAACATGTAAAAATGAGCAAACTCATAGTGATGACAAGACTTCAAGAAGTCATCGCATCCTGGCCGCTATTCACTTTGGAGCTATAGCCAGAAAGTGATTGGCCTAGCTTAGACTTAAGACTGGAAGCAAGGGGCTATAGCTAGTCTGGCTCCGCCCAAATGCAAAAAATCAGGCTGTTCTCATAAACTGTTTGTACGTTTTCCTACAAAAATTTGTACATATCGCATGTGATCATGAGCCAGTAATTGGTGCATAACCCATGTATTTTGGAAGCCTGCAATCACCTTACCAATGCGCTGACGGGAGTAAACAAGGAAGTGGTCCCAAGTGGTCTTGTGAGGGCGTAGGTTGGAATGGTGGATGGGTCACAAAACCACAGAGTTTTCCCTGGGACTTTCCCCAGGAGACGCTTGTTCAGAACTGTGTCAGCTTTGAGTCATTACAAGATACATCCTCACTGTGTTTCTTTTCCTAAACCTAACCACAGCAATTTTTTTTGCGCAAACCTAACAGCTGTAACGTTATGTTAATAATGTACGTCACGTCATTCGTGGGGTACTGATTCATAGGATATTGTATTAACCGTTCTATGAGGATATGTTAAAAATATATATGCATTAGGCTATATCTAATTTGTTTGGCATGTACAGAGCAGAAATGTAAAAACGAGCTACCTCACAGTGACAACAAGACTTCAGGAAGTCACCACATCCCGGCTGCTATGCACGAACAAATGGTATCTCCCCGTAAAACCACAATGTCATTTTGACAATGTACAACTGTTTATGTACGCAACAGGAGAGATACAGCATGTTAATTAGTAATGTTAAAAGTCACTGGTATGCATGACTATAGACATTTTAGGCCCAGGCTAGCTGATTCCCTTCTGCCTTCAGTCTTTACGCTAATGTAATTGCCTCCTGGCGCTACCTCTGTACTGAGATTTTTATAGATTCCTCATCTCACCTTGCAAGAAAGTGAATGAGCATTTTTCCCCCAAAATCTTGAGCTGTTCCTTTAACCATGTGACCCTGATTTTGGGTCATGCAGGGTTCTGTTTCCTGTTTAGCCTCACGCTCAAGCCAGGCACCAGTTCCCAGTTTTTCTCAGGAGTCTAGCTGAATCCTGATTCATGTATGAATGAATTATTTAGACATTTGAATCCACTGGAAGTTCAGGATTAAATTCCCAGTTGGAAAATCTTTTTACCCCCAGTCCTATTAGACATGCACCATAGGCACACACACACACACACACACACACACACACACACTCTCACACATACATACATAAACACACATATTTCATATTTCTCTCTACTGGATCTATCATTTCTCAACATTTCACCCTCTCCTCATCCTCTTCTCCCTTTCCAATGTCCACTTGTTGTGAGTGCATCTGTCACTTTCCCTGAGGCCACTGCTGATTGGTCGCTTTTGTCATGATGATGTACATATGTAAATTTTGCGTTGTATATGAATCTGCATGGGGTTCCATTGCAAGCAATAAGGATACTGATATGACAAATAATTTGAGGAGGTTTAATAAGATTTTAGTCTCAAGCTTAATGAATGTGTATATAACATTTAGACTACTAAGAGTGTGTGTGTGTATGGATGTGTGTGTTAAGATGCGTACATATGCACTAACAAAGCATGCAGGACAAAAAATGTTCACCTCTTTGAATGCAAGAAGCGGTGGGACGTGCTGACATTATGCATGCCAAAATGCTATGATGCTATTGGTCCGAAGAGACCAAGTTAGGTACTGTAACAGGGCTGGGTGGGGGTGGGAAAGTTTATTTTTGCAGGACAGGGAGGGGTTATGTTTTTAGTAGGTCTTGTATAGCTGCTTTATTATCGAATTTGAGAGACTTATTAGAGAAACATATTAACAATCGTAGCTTATGATTTTTTTCTTCTTTTTTTTTGCCTCTCTTTTCACAGAGAACTGTTCTGAAAGCCCTGTGCTTATCAGATATATGCAAAAAGAAGCAGTAACTGTGAACTAATGCTAAAACATGAAAAAAACAAATCCAGCTTCTTCCATCATTGTCTCAACTCCTCTTCTGCAAGAGAGAGGACAGACCATCCTCTTCCCAAGATACCTCCTCACCAAAATGCCCCTGTCCATCGTCTCATTTGTCTGCTTCTTCATTATGTCTGTAACTTCATGCTGCCCATGTCATGTTTATGTCCCTCTGTCCTGTTCTATTGTCTACACTTGCAGTGAGTTCAGGAGGATGCCTCTGCAATGTGAGAATGCAATGATTCATTACAAGCTCCCACAAAAGATGAGGATCAGGGCCAGATAAACCTACTAGGGGGCCCTGGGCAAACTGAGCTGTGGCACCTTTTGAACAAACCCACTCTAACCCAGCTCTTTTTGTTTGTTTCATTTACACTTGACTAAATGTAAACGTATGTAAGAATACTCACCATGTAAGCATAAGTGTGTTTTTATGTCCAAAACACTGTGCTCAGGTTAGCTCTGCTGGCCTGACTTCAGTGCTTGGACTCAAAGAACCTTGCTAGTCTAGCAACATCAGGGCTACAAACAATCCATAATACAACACTCTCTGTAGGAACCTACAATACTCTCACCATTTAAAAAATTACCCGATGTTTTGAAAATGTGTATGTCCAGTCCTTGGATATAACATGACCCCCACTTTTTCAGTAGTAATGTCTTGCCTCATATTCTGGCTATTCCATTATGAAGTGCAAGATCAGATAAAAAGTCAGAAAAACTAAAAGGCTAATGGAATGCTATCATCACTTTGTTGGATATAATAATACAAGTTAGCTGGTGTAAACCAGTGGGCTGTTAGTTATACAGTCAAAGATTCATTTGACAAGAGGGTCAAAATGGTGAGATCATTGAAAACTTGTGAATTACTTTATTGTTGCGGACATTGCCACTGGTGAAAAGTATGGGTGTAAGTGTGGTGGATGGGCAGGTACCGCATCAAATCTCCAGGCAGGAGACCAGAATCCAATATGGACATGCAATTCATTTTCAAGTTTTTATTTTTATCCACGATCTTTATCTAACCTTAACAAAGTGTTGTAGTTGCCTATGAGTCTGATATCAGCCATTATTTGCCATAACAAAAATATTTTCTTAACCTTAACCATAGCAGTTGCTATGTGTAGGTATTACAAATAGCATGAAAAAAATACGTGAGAGGCTTAGTGGCAGAGCAGGCGCCCCATGTACAAGGCTGTTGCCGCAGTGGCCCGGGTTCGACTCCAGCCTGTGGCCCTTTGCTGCATGTCACTCCCTCTCTCTCTCCCCCTTCATGCTTGTCTGTCCTGTCAAATAAAGGCTAAAAAAAATGGCCAAAAAAATATCTTAAAAAAAAATAAAATATGTGAAATACCTGAAATGGACACAAACTCATAACAAAGCATTGCATGGTGAGGGGCAGGAAATATGTTAAAATGATGTGCTGGCAACACAAATACAATGCTGATGACAAGTCTGTTATGAGTGGTCGCAGTTTTGTTGTGAAACGGTCACAGTTTGGTAGGTTTAGGGAGAGACAATGACTTGGTTAGGTTTAGAGAACAAAAAAATACTTGGTTAAGTTTAGGGAAAGATGGTGGTTTCGATTAAAATAACTACATATTTAATGTAAATTTATGTAGCCTACTTTGTGTAGTTGCACATAGTAGTTATTAGTTATTTGCATATTTACTCAGTGTCATGTAACTATGCTGACTTGTGGTTTCACATGGCAAGCTAAAAGCAGTCTCCCGGTTGAAAGTCTGTGATTGTTTGACCCATCCAGCACCACTCCCACTCCCACCCACCGTACCCAGGCTTTTTTACTCTTTATACTTAATTTGTGTGTCCACCAAGACAAAAGGTTCTTACTGACTTTGCTTTGGCCTTGTTTTTGTGTTGCCAGCACATCATTTTTAACACATTTCATACCCCCCATCACATAATGCATTGTTGAGAAGCCGTGTCCATTTCATGTATTTCTGTGACACCAGGCTGGATATTATAGACAGCAAATTATTTTAAAAAACTTTGGCATTGGATGTAAAAAAATAATGTGATTTATTATAAGCCAAGGTTTTCCAGGATCAGTGTTCTTGTCCTCTAATAGGGTTGATTGTGCTTTAGTGGTGCATGTTACGAAAGACATCTTTACTATTTTATTTTTTGCCTCAAAAAGATCCTTGAAGAAGTTGCATTGACTACTCAGTAAGAAACCACACTGCAGAGGCACCCTTCAAAATTCAATTTCGTATTTAACATTTCTAAAGTTTCTATCCCTTGTTGCCAACATTTCTCTCTTTTCCATCCATTCACAACTCAGGTATCAATCTCTCCCTCTGTGCCCCTGTTCACCCATGTTTCCTCAAAGATGTACTGTATGTATGAAAAAGGGAGAGATGAAAAAAGATGAGTTTTTCCTCTCTTTTCTGTCCCAGTGAATACCATGTGCTTTGTTTTGCGGCTCTTGCCCCTACCTTCAAAGATGCTATTTTGCTTTCCTAGTCCACCTGTGCTTCCTGTCTTCTCTTTGTGTCATTCCCTCGTCTTTCCACCCTCAATGACTGTGTCCCTCTTTCTGTGAGACACACCATCTGTTGTCCCCCCACCCTGAAGTCTCTCACAGCAAAAACCAAAAAGGAATTGAGTAAAATTGGAGCATCTTCGCACCTAAAAAAAAAAAAAAAGTTTTGCCAAACACTGGATTTCACCGAGGAGGAAGACAGGAATGGACATTTAAATGACTGAAAAACACTACAGTGGTATATTGTAGAAGGGAAGGAGGGAAAAATGTGCTGTGAAATGATGTGTTCTGAGTGGATTGTCAGCCGAGCAGCATCAGAGGGAGGAGATGGAGGAGGAAAAGTTTGGGGAAGACAGAAAAGTGTGGTGATGAGGAGAAGGAAAGAAAGAAAGAAGCAAAATCGCTTCTCCATGTAAGAATGTGTACCTCACTGTTGTTCCTGTGCACCGTTTTTGCTCTTTGTGTTGTGTTTCTTCACCTGTGTGTGGTTCTTTGTTGGTGTGACATTTTGTTTTATGTTCTGTGTGTTTTTGTGTTATGTACCGCACTCTATTTCCTTCCCTTTTTTTTCCTTTTTGTGTAGTCTTTGTGTGAACCACACCTGGGTCAAACACCAGCTACGGCTTGTTTTATCCCACACAGGTGCAGAAGAGTTGTACTTTGTCATTTGGGCAAGCACAAACTGCACCAGAGCAAGATAAATTAGAAATAAACTGTCCTGATACAGCAAACCCTGCCGGTCTAACTTAAAGTGGGATGAAGCAAAAAGCTAAAATTATTTGACCAAGGTCTGGTCTGTACATGTGCAGGACACACCAACTGAGATGTTCCACTCTCAGCTCTTGGTCTGGATCTCGGCCCAGTCCTGGTTGACTGCAGTCCTCTGGTTTCAACTTTGAGATCTTGATTTCACAAAGTTTGTGACCTTGATGTCTCTTGATCTCATCAGCTTCCTAATTAGTGTCCTAAGAATTGTTACATCAGAGGACTGAACAGCCCCCGAGGACCTCTGTAGATTGTATCTGTATGAGTGAGTTACAGAGACAGAAAGAAACATCAGTGTGTGTCACATTCGAGCTCTGTGTACTTGCATGTTGGCTGGGCTGGGCGATCTTTGCAATGGTATCTTTTCTTTGCTTCAGTGGTGTGTTTGGCCTATCATTTCTTTGCCTTGGTGTACAGTATTATATTGCAACAGTCTACATTAATACAAACAACTTTTTCACACTGAGCACCACTGGAAAAGAGTTTAGATTAGGAACACTCAGTCTGCCATTGTAGAAGTCTTTCAGTGTACACATTTGTGGTCCATGCTGTGAGGATTCTGTTTGGAAAGTTGTGCAGCAATATTTAAGAAAGAATGGTTTCTACAATGGCTGACACTATAAATCTAATTTATAACATGACAAAAACTCCCATGGCCTCTTTCCTAACAGCATCTTTGGGACTGAATCTGTTGATATTACAGTACGCTTGTGGTGTAGACAGTAAGCTCAAGGCAATATAATATAGAACGAATCACAATGTTTCCAGTACAATAACTTCCGGGTAGAAGACACCCTTGTCTCGGACATAAAATAAAATGGGGCTGGCCAAACACTGCCTCAGTTGGTTAGTTTTTAGCCACCTAAAAAAAGTCAATATGACTTTAAGCGTACGCTATATTTAGAATATTTTCACCACTTTACCTTGTTCCCCTTGAAGAACTGAAGCCATTACCTTACAGCCACCAGAACTCATTGACAAAAACAGTCATTTTACTTTCCAGAGCAAAGGAGTTGCTGGTCTATCACGATCACTAAATATGTAGACTTGAACTGATATTGAATTTTTATTTATTTATTTAATTAATTAATTAATTTAGTTGGGTGTTGTTAGGTTGCTAAAATACCTTTTGCTGCGACCCGTTCACAGCATTACATTGCTTAGCTTCCAGTAGATTGCCAGTAGATTTGGTTTATCAAAGACATTAGGGAAGCAACACAGTACATAAAATAAGCAGAACAGAAATGTCAGATAGGTTGGACCACTGTGTTTAACTATACTATACTATGCTATACTACCATACTATCTTTAAACATTACAGTTATGGCTGAAAATTACAACTGATATCAACAGCTTTGCAAATTTTACATGTCTCCACAACTGAATCAATTGGCCGTTGTCTACCCGGAAGTGATTGTTGTTGTCAATGCAACGTCATGGTGATTCAGTCTATAGTCAGAGCACTTTTTTTCTTGCCAAAACTCCCAAGGTCCCAAGGTTACAGCACCATGCTTTGTATTTAGTATCAAAACTTTTTTTAAAAAAATTCAACTCAATGTCCATTTATTAGCTTTTTCTACAGTCTAGAGCTTTCAACCACATCTCACTGTCTTCATTTGCAGATGGAGTTTGCTCAGTTGACATGCAGATGCTAAAAGTACCACTGCAACAATAATCTGTTACAAGTAAAAGTCCTGCATCAGAAGTTTACATAAAGTATCAAAAGTAATGGCCCTTGACTGACATATTATCATATAATTAATTAGTAGATTGCTGTTGTTAATGTATCAAAGTGTAAATAGCATTCTACTGTATAGCTGGTCAAGATGGAAACAGATAGGTAGGTTAGTCCAGTGGTTTCCAACCTAGAAGTCAGGGTATAAATCAAAGGGGTTGTTATGAGATGATTAATAGTGATGATAATGATGATGATGATGATGATGATTATTTGTTTGAAATTGTTGAGCGCTACTCATTTGAACTCACTTAAACCACCTGTTGAATGCAGAAATCTCCTAGTAGTGGAACTTCTAACAACTCACAGACATTCTAAAACATGACAACAAAACATGACAAGGTGCCCTAACTAGGCCACAAACTGAAAACGATGGGAATGATTGGTATAATTTTGATTTGTGGTTGAAATCTCTAGAAAAAGATACTAAACTGACTTTGAGCTAATTTTTTTTTTTTTTTTTTTTTGTTAAAATTAACAACAACAAAAAATGTAGCGTCTTCTAATGCGGAAATGGACAAAATGTGAGATGTACTGTATACCAACAAAAAGTGATCTTACCTCATCTTGAGGCTTTTCGGAAACAGGTCAATATCTAAAAATCAAATAATTTTAAGCAGAAGAACTGGAAATCAAAACAGCTGGATGAAAGATTAAATTTATTTTTGCTGCGATGGTGGGTAAAATAATTGTCCACTTTGCTTATGGTGTCTCCTTAAATCACTCTTGTAAATGTGAATCCGTGATGGAATCATCTCATTGGCCAACACCAATAGATCTGGGTTGGGTTGCACCAGCGATAATAAAACCATCACTGAATCCTGAGCTCTTGATAATTACTAGTTCAAAACTAGTGGTTTACAAAATCAGGTCACAACATTAAAGCTTGTGAAATGTCTTAGCTTGTAAAGCTGTAGGTAATCTGTAAATCACTTGCTAGGGAACATCCACAGTGCTACATCTATAGTATTGTCCAATCAAACGTGATGTAGCATCACAAGCTAGCATAGCCAAAAATTACAGTTTTAGCAGCCCATTCTCATTTCCAAGGTCTCAAATACAGCATCGTGGTCAACATCTGATTTGGACTCACAAGGCACCCTTTAGCGCCTGAGACAGATGGGCTTTCAACTGTAATGTAAAGCATCCACAGCATAAAGAGCAAGAAAGTCTGTGTAAAAAGATGTCAGGGTGGCGGATTACACAATCACAGGAATTTATCCCAGAAGACTAGTATT